TGAACGCGATCAAGCGAATTTCGCGTCGAAATGTGGCGCGCGCGGCTGAATCGAAGACGCGACTGGCGTTTCCAATGTGAACATGCAAACGAATTTGTAGTCGAACACGCGAACGCCCAATATTCGAACTTCGACGCGGTGCGCGCGGCGGTCGCTTGACAAGTTTAGTGGGAAATTCGTCGTATAAGCGAAGACTTTTAACAGCCTATAATAAGCTTTTTGGGGGAATTTGAGTATTTCTTTCGCCGCCCCTTGCACTGTCATTGGCACAGCGTCATCTGAGCGGCACGTCTGGACTGTGGGACCCTTCTGTTGAGTGATCAATGTATAAATGGAATTATAAAATATATAAATTAACATGAATGTATTAAAAGAAATTGCTTACGACTGTACAATTTTCTGTCCTTCTAGGGATGTAATTCTTGAAAATTCATCTGACCACTGCAACCAGCCCCAGTCAATTGGGGATCTTTCTGGGATCACACGTGACGATCGGATTATCTTGTCTGGGGAGGATGCAGGATTTGGCGGTAGTGGGTGCGTGCAAAAAAATTGAAGAAATAATACCTGTAGATGGCCGGAAATGACACATTTATAATCACTATACCATTATATAGTCAAAATGAAGCGCCGACAAATTTCATGATCTTTTTTTATAGGCGATTTTCGGCAACCATCCAAGTAGATGTGTGATGAACCATAGAAAACATAGCTTAAAACATTCTCTTTGATGTATTTACTTTACCTACTTCAAAACATTGAGTCCGCAACCACCTCTTCCCCACCATGGTTGGGCTGAGGTGGGTGAGAAAATTTGAGGAAATAGTAGATGGCCGGAAATGACACTTTTAATAGTAAAATTCATCATCATCACACCATCATATATAGATAAAGCGCCAGCAAATTTTTCATGATTTTTAATCAGGGATTTTTGGCAACCACGGAGATCTAATTATTATATGATTCAATTCAATTCAATTCTTTTTTTTTAATTCAATATCAAAGTCGCAGTCGAGGACTGAATTAAATGATACTTACAATAATATAAAAACATCAAAGGAAGTAATATAAAAACATTGAAGGATTAATTATTTAAAAAAAACAAGACACAAACCGCACAGACATTCAGAAAAAGATTAAAAACATGAAAAATTTCATTATTTACAAATTATTATTAAATTTTTAAATTTTATCAATACAAATTCGCAATCAAGGCAGAATAAATTGAAATTTACAAAATTAAGGCAAGTAGGCAAATATAAAAAACATCAAAACATCAATTAACCACGGGCACAAGACATAAAATAGGAGATAAAGATTAACATTAAAATTAGAAATATAAGCAGCACACAACAGGTTAAAAAACTTAGATAATAAAATCGATTATTTTAATTATTAATTATTGGATCATTAAAATCGTATTGACTAGAATGCCAAACAGGTACGGCATACTTAACACTCGGTCTTATGTACTGTAACACTTATACACTTTTACAAGGTCGTGCTTTGGAAGTTTGAATGATGTAGGCCTACCATAGAAAAAAAAAACAACTAAAGAAACACTTTCTTTGATTTATTTAATTTACTTGACCTACATCAAAGCTGTGTGGCCACAATCACCTCAGTCCCACCATGGTTGGAAAATTTAAAGAATTAGTACCTCTAGATGGCCGGAAATGACACAAAATTCTGCATCATTACAACATAGTCAAAATGAAGCACCAACACATTTTCATGATCTTTCATGAGCTATTTTCGGCAACCACAGAGATCTAATGTGTGATGTACCATAGAAAATACAACTTAAAAACATGTCTTAAGTTGATGTATTTACTTTACCTACAGTACTTTAAAACTACGTGAGTCCACACGCATCTCAGCCCCACCACAGTTGTGGCTGAGGTGGTAAAATTTTGGGAAAGTACCTCTAGATTGCCGGATATGACACTCTTATATTTAAAATTCATTATTATCGATCTAATTAATCGCTGTGATGTACCATAGAAAATAAAACTTAATTTCCGAAAAACCAATTTTATCTTTGCACGCTTTTTCTCATACTTCTCAAACTATAATAAAGGCACGCGCACTCGAATCGTGTATAATAGGTAAATCAGATGTTTGTGGGCAGAGTATACCGGTATCTTGCTATGGCTGTAGGCCTACCGCGCTTTTTCGTTAAAACCGGAGTCATTTATGCAGTATTATTTCAACAATTTTCAGGCATATCTTCTTGATTCCCGAAAAGTGAGGGGACCAACCCTTTCTCCTTAAAAATATGTGGGGGTGAGGGGAACGTGTTCCCCTTCCCCAATGATCTGCGCCTATGGGTCCGTGAAGAGTCCACATCACCTCAGCCCCAACATGGTTGGGGGGGCTGATGCGCGAAAATTTTGAGAATTCGAGCTCTGTGTGTCAGGAAATTGCACTCTCATACCTTAAAAATCTTACCAATAATTCATATCAACAATATAATACAACAATTAGGCCTATTTTTCTTAATAGAATTTAGGGGGTGCGACCGCACCCTCTGCACTTCCCCCTCCGGGCCCTTGCATCCGCCACAGCTTGTGTGATTTGTCAATGAAGCGCTGGTTATATTAAAACCGCGTGAGGGCGCAAATATAATTTGATATTTGTATTTTGGGTTCACGCAAAGAGTATAAATAGAACAAGAGAGCCAACAACGCTCATTGAGAGCGTAAAAAAACGATACGCTCTACGCAGCTAGTGTAGGACGCCAACTAACGCTTGTATATGTTTTATTACCCAGTACTGCACC